TTTGACATCCATTTTTAATATTTCATATAACTTGGGTATAAAAAAATTTAATTCGACTTCTAAAATATGTAGGTTGCCACCCTCTTCAAAACATTTCCAAACTACGACCTTCTTAAACTTCTTTTGTCTGACACTCATATAGTGATACCTTATTTGGATTCTTTTATTTAAAATTGAATTCGATTTTTTAAACATGTGTCAACGCTCCTACACGTAGTTAAGATATAAAGCATTTTCAAAACGGATGTCGGATGATCACCAAATTATAACAATTGATTTAACTTTTTAAATAATTTGAGTAAACATGTTAGCTGAATGTTTATGGTGCTACGGGACGTATACGTTATCTACACAACTACGGGTATATGAGTACGAGTTGTTATTTTGGCTTTTTTTTAAGTAAATATATCTTTTTTAAGTTTCAATTTAAATGCAATTTTGTGATGGAATTTTTTTCTTTATGCAAAATTCAAGATACTGCATTTTAAGAGATAGGTGTGCCACCATTTTCAACCAAAAACACGTTTTTGTAGAAAAATTTAACAACTCGTGAGACTTGCTCATATGTTCGATATATGCAGAAAGAGCTTTCGATAACACCACACAACAGGTGGGGGTGGTCAGACAATTCAGAAAAAAGGCGTACAAGTATTTATTTCCAGGTGGATAGAAGCGCTGCTACGAAAACCTCATGGAAGAAATACGTGATAACATCCAGGCTATGAAAACAGTAACGGTAAGCAAATGTCTTGCAGGAAAATATTGGGGTTGCAGCCCTCGGATTCTTAGATGGATAAAGTCAGGCACATGATAACTTATGAAGGCGGTGGACTGCGGCACTACGGTCAACCTAGCGACTGTGTGGCGCTCACTCACAAGACTAAATACAACGTCTTGTATGTGTAATACACACATCTGCGATCCCTAATTTTGTACACGCAATCAGTCTATTTGCAGAGATCAGTCTTCAGCGGAAGTAATGTAATAAAATCATTATAATGCTAAGGCATAGTCAGGGATCTTGTTAGCCTTGAAATCAAGTCTGCAATGGTCTTTCACCTCTGGATGCTGGGCCACAACAGCATAGAAGGTAATGAGGAGGCAGACCTGCTTACCAGGAAGGCGGCAGTAAGCACACCGATAGGCCCCGAGCCCTTTTTTGTGGTAGAACTACACACCATTACAGAAGAGCTTAGGAGAGAAGACAGAACTAGTAGAAAGTGGGTCTGGAGCCAAGCCATTGGGCTGCGACAGGCAATAAAGCTACTGGGAGTATACAATAAGAAATGATGTGAGAAAGTTACCAGCCTCCAAAACCAAGAATTCTAACAAGAATCTTAACAGGTGAAGAAGCACAACAGCCAACGCTAGCCCTATACCGCGCTCTTTATAGTAATTCCGATAAAAGAGAGTATATAAGCCCACTGGCAACTTACCCTGAGGATCCCGTCAAGTATTCTGCCACCACAGTTCAGCCCTAAGAGTACAACTCTACAACAAGCTTTTCAGGCTTTTGGCGCTTTTCAGGCTTTTAGAAACGAAATTCAGCTACTCCTTAAAGCCTGAAAAGCGCTGAACGCCTGAAAAGCTTGTTGTGGAGTTGTACTCTAAGTAATGATATATTTTGTATGTTAGGTTATGCTGGCTGACCATAAGAGGTCCCACCTAGGCAAGTATAACGTCTATAGCGTTCCCAGATACATTTAGTTACGACCCATGAATCAGTGCTTTCACGCAATGTTAAAGAAAATTGCCGTTCGTTTGGTGAATTTTAATGGACACTTTGGTCCTTTTTCGATAGCTGTACCTTGCGGGTTAACGCGAGTCTTTGCCTGCTGAAGGATGGACACTCTCAAATTATATGTTTCCTCGTGATAGTTACATTGCCCTACCAATCCTACCCAATATAGGTGGACGGTCTTAGAAACTGCTAGCCTCCTTACAGTCTGCGAGGGTAATCGAATTGGTTTTATTAGAAAATAGAGGCTTAATCACCGCCTGACTATGTATGTATGTAAATTTTTATAGCTCGCTTGGTGGTTAATTTCATACAATGCAGAGACCTCAGTTGGATAGCTACTGCAATGATCTGGTATCTGAAAAGACCTATGCATTTCCGGTTTATTGCAGTATACTGCAGCCCCTACTTCTTTGTAAATTGTAGAACTGCCTATGCAGATGTACCTTGTATATTGTGGCTTCTAGAGACCTTTCGAAACTCAGATGCGAGGTCACGTAGTCTATTCGCCCTGATAAGGATGCCGCTATACTGCTGTGGCCGTACGTTCTGATTCCATGCTGCACTGCGGAGCAAAGCCTCGCGGCAGTTGTGAAACCTACATATATTAGGTATGTGTGTATGTACTTACTTTTTAAATGTCGAATTGATTTATTGTATTTATACTTTCGAGAATCTCTGCATGTGGCGATAATATTAAAAATAGCAATAATGCAATTAACGGACTCGAATTTGCATGAAAACATCTGAACATTGAACTTAAATAGGTACATATGTATATTAGGGTGGTCCTTCAAAAAAAAATCAAATGAGCGCTTTTTCCGTCTCACGCCTTCAATCGGTATACCACGGTCACAGATATCACATACAAATTTTGGTCCCGATTGGAGACGGTTAAGACGTGTCGCACAGGGGACAAAGTTCAGATTCCTCTATAGAGACTTAAAAAATTAAAAATTGATTTTTTTGGCAACTCATACCCGAAATCGATGCTACCGTAGTCAACGATTCAGACTACCCTATGAAGACGTCTTAACCGACTTCAATTGGGACCAACATTTTTACGTGAGATCTACGACTATAGGAAATCTGATATAAAAATTTGCTTACTATCATTAAGGATCACCTTAATGTATATACATACATATGTAAATTATTATACAGCGGGTGCTATCAATGAGTGCTGATAAACCGTGAACAATTGATTACCTTAAGTATTAAAATTAAGTACAAAAAAAGTTCAAATTTAAGGCAAATAAAGAGAGAGAGAGAGAGAGGGAAAGATATAAGAAGAATATCGTAGAAAAAATTTATATACATACATACAGTGTTGCCGTTGAGAATTTTCAGAAAGTCGCAAAAAAGGTGTCATTTACGAAAAAAAGTTATAAAGTCTTTTCGCTGCTAGAACGTTCTGCTGCTGAATTTAAATAGAAAAATAGCGGCATAAGCTTTGCGCAAAACAGATTTGCAAACATGCACAGAAATCTGGAACTCGATCTTTAAATGTTTTAAGCGATTAATTTTTTGGTACTTACAGTAGGAAATATTTTTGAGTAGCATGGCTCTGTTAACATTTCCGAAAAAAATATCTGAGAAGGGGCAAAAGTCGCACATAATTTTGGAATAGGGTAAACAAATCAAAATGTTTGAAAAAGTCGGGTCAAATAGTATTGGCTCTTAAAAAGGGTGAAGTTTCCCCTTTAGTCGCACAACGGCAACACTGCATATATACATACATATGTACCAACTGCAAAACATATGCTTGCAACAATGTTGTCAGATTCACAGTTTTTACTGTAAATTACAGCTTTTTAGATTAGCACAAAGTTTTTTTTTTTTTGAAATTCCCGATTTTAACGAATAACTTAAAATTTCTCATTCGTTTTTTTTTTGGTAAGTTAATTTTTTAGGTAAAAGAGGACGATGGAGGGAGCAGAGCACAGTGGTTCAAAATTGTAATTTATTATTCATAATTCACTGGCACCTTCACTTTTCAATCAATTTGATTTGACCAGTTGAGCCCGGTTTTTGAATTGTTTTTTTAGAAAATATTAAATTTTTTTAGTGTAAAGTGAAAAAAAACGATTCTCCGGTTGCAGTTAATAAATGTTACATAACAAAAACTAGTTGAAAATAATTGTACCGTTCCCTCTACATGAAAAGAAATTCACAAAAAATTTGAAATTTTATAAAAGCAAAATGTTTACTAAAATTAAAATTTTTCCTTTGAGTTTTTAGAAAAATGTTGGGTATTATAGTGGATATAAATAATATGTTAGCGAAGAAAATATTTTTAATCAAGGCGAATTCTTAGCCACTCGAAACTTGCATTTTACTATACTTAATTATCTAATTAATTTAATGATCTATAAAACTGCATACTCAAAGTGTTTTTAAAAACTGAAAAAATTATATTGTGAATAAATTTGGTAAAGTTTTTTTATAATATTTAAAATTTTTCTCGTGAAATATTTTTCGTTTTGGGGAAACCCTATAATTTTTTTGAAGTGGTTTTTATAATGTAGCATTCATTAACGCATTCAAAATTGCTACTTTTTCTGCATTTTGCACTAAAAAATTTTATATAAAAAATAAAAATTGCAAAATCGGGTTCAACTGGTTCTTTGCTAATTTTTTAAGCTTTCATTGAAAAAAAAANTATAAAAAATAAAAATTGCAAAATCGGGTTCAACTGGTTCTTTGCTAATTTTTTAAGCTTTCATTGAAAAAAAAAATTATCAGATTGGTGTAAAAAATGAAGGCAGGCCACTCTGCAGTATTTCCTCATTTCAAAGAAAGGGTTTCAGCTGTCCTTTGCATTCCATCTGCCACAGAAAATGTGGAAAGAATATTTCCCCAAATCAATTTCTATAAAACTCAAAACAAACTAGAAATTCTCTTTGGTATTTTAAGAGCTAAGAATTTCTTTAAAAAATGCTTCGGGAGGTAATAAATTTGAGCTATCGAATCAAATGTTCAAAAAAAAAAACAAAGCGGCTTACGGAAAATTATGAAAATGAATTTTATTAAAATCAAATGTGATGTAAATTTTCCATTTTTTAAAGCCAATTTTTGTTTGGTCTTCGTTTTTAAAGGTTGCAGTTTTTCGGTCTACAATTAATTAGTTGTTTTTGCCGGAAACTTAAGAGTTAAAAAAAAAAATGGCAACACTGGCTTGCAATAAAAAAATTAACGCGTTCATGGAGACAAGTGCTTCCCAAAGCCGCTCATATCAGCTCAATTCGTTTTTTTTTTTTTTTTGTTTGCTTCTTGCTCTTGATCATCAGCTATTTAGAGCAGCGCGAGCTTGCAATTGAGTGCCAGTGTCAGTTGCTTATTTAGTCAGTACTCAACGTTTGACAAGTGCAGAGCGCAAAATCTCGAAGTTTTCTACTAAAAACGAGCACACCTATAAAAAAAAAATGTCCAGAATTGTGAGGAAATTAATTAGCACCAACAATGCGGCCAAACCAGTAGCGCCATATAAGTATGCAAATACGATTTTATAAAAACAAAAAGCAGCGTAATGAGCCGTTAAAGAACTACAAGCGAACATTAAGAATAAATTGACACTTGTCAAAATAAGCCATTAAAATTATTAGTCTTCCAGGCCAGCCAGTGGCCACCAACCAACATTCAGCTTTTATGCTACGCCTTTCCTTGTGTATATATGTATCTATAGTATTCTATATAAGTAAATGTATGTATGCATTTTTATATTCCAGTCAAGCTGTCGTTGCTGATCGTACTGTCTATGTATCCGGCTGTTTGGGCTTGGACAAAGACACTATTAAACTGGTGCCTGGCGGTGTAGAGCAGCAAACCGAGGCGGCCTTGAAAAACTTGGTTGCCACTCTGGAGGCCGCCGGCTCTGGCGTTGACAAAGTGATCAAAAATACAATTTATGTAAAGGATCTAAATGACTTTGGTGTGGTCAATGAGGTTTACAAGAGAGGTGAGTGGCTTCCATGGTATTGGTTTTTATTTTTTTTGCATTTGTTGTTATACCCGAGCGCACTTGTGCACAAGGGTATTATAACTTTG